TTTAATAATTTACATCTATTGATGAATAATATAAAATGAAATGATATAAAAATCGCTCAAAAAGATATTCTCGCTTTTATTTTATTCTCTTTTAGGATTTCTAATGGAAAAAGTATAAAAGCTATAAACTTAAAATTTAATCTATATTTATCCTTTGACGTTCTTCACATATTTTTTTCGAACATTATAAAAGATTTTTTTGTAATTATTTGTAAATCTGTATGAACATGTAAAAAATATCACCTCTCTCTCACGTTCACTATGATTTAAGATATAGAAATTATCTTAAATGAGAGAGAAAAATTAAAAAAAATTCTTTATATATATAACCAAGTTAAAAAAATTGTTTTTTGTAAAAATGACTAAGTTTTGAAAAAAATTTGATTTTTCACTTTTTCCCCTGCTTTTTCTTTAACGGAAAAATTGAAGAATTAGAATTTTTATTTGATTGTATGTCGGACGAAAGAGAAAAATGTTGTGAAAATCTTCTAAAAATTTGTTTCAATCGGATTAAAACTACAGAGTTATCGTAGCAATAGTGAGCTGGTGTTTTTTTTTTGGCATGCCCATACACAGATTTACAATAGCCAAAAAATCTTTTGTTTGAAAAAAATTTATAAAAATCATTTAAATATCAAAGAATAAATGTACCAAATTTTAAGTTTGTAACTTTTATATTTTTTCCAAACAAAATTCCTAAAATAGGATATAAAAATAATACGGAAAGCAAAAATATTCCTTCTAATAGAAAGTACGGTACATACTTTTAATGTGTGGTACACTTATGATTTTAGTAGTTTAAGTAATTGCTTCACTAATACTTTCTGAATACGAGATAAAAATTGCGAAGAGAAATGAATCCTTAAACAGCCCGAATTGATATTTCGAACAATGAATTTAAAGCTAATGGATGTAATTAAAATAAAAATTAATCCAATCATGAAATAACTGAATAGTAATAAAAAAGGTTAAATGACTATAAGTAATAAAAGCAGAAGAGAAAGGAAATAGAAAAATTCTATAAGAAAGAAAGTACGTCTGTTTAAAAAAATTCTATGGGAATTGCGATAGAAAAATCAATAAAGAATATAAGGGAAAATGGGACAATTGAACAAAAAGAGTATAAGTGATCTGAAGCTACAGAATGGAGATTTCAGAATAAAAGCGAACCATTGTATTGCGATGCAGTAGCGCAAATCATAGACGATCGTCGAAAACTCGAAACCTCGTTCGTAATAGGAGTGCAATTCGCAAGCCTGACATGTATAAGATTTCACTCGGATTATAATTTCGATCTCATGGACTAACAAATAGCGAGATGACTAATGACTGAATTGTCAGTACTTTAGCCATTGTAATACTGGATTTATCTGATCCATTTTCATATATTAATTTTGATTGTATCTCTGTAATATTCTGTACATACATGTTTCTATCTTCTCCGTAAATTCTATTATTGTCATTTGGCAATAGTTTTCAATTGAGAAACTATTCTTTTGAGAGCATTTCGTAAGAAACCGGAAGACGTAGTATTAAAGACATCGTCAAGCGATCGCTGGTCGCAAACACACGAGTGCACTCATCCGCTTGAATATCCAACCTAACCGTGCCTGGCGCAAAAATCGCCACTGGCGTTATACCGAGTCAACGGGATGAGGCGAAAGATACGCGATGAAGGAGCACATACGGACGACATGGGAAATAAAGAATGCGATAGAAGAACGCGATAAAGAACGGACAAGAGTTCGAGGAATGACGAAAAGAACGAAAGCGTAAGAACTGGGATGACGAAGAATAAGACCGAAGTACAGAGTTAGTCGGTAGTATGGCCGGGATGAAACGGCGAATAGCGCCTCGTGAGCATGGGTGGCCGGGGGGATGAGACCAAGGGGTGAGGTTTCGCATGGGGAGGGGGGAGGGGGAGGCAAAGGGGGAGAGCTGGTGGATTTTGCGAGAGTCGCGCGAAGGGGCCGGGGGTGGCGCCGCGGGCCGCGCCGTCGCCCAGCATCCCTCGCGTTTCCACCCGCCCACTCTTGTAAAGGCGCACCCTCACGCCGAGAGTATCTGGTAGTCATACGCTGGCCCGTTGCGAGCCCGCTGATGTAGCTGCCGCTGTTCTCGTTTTCAGTGATTTGCGTCCACGTTATATGCGTTACGCAGTGTACGACCGCGTGTGCCGGTTCGATCGAAGTGTGCGAAGAATCTGATGGTAGTACTTGTTCTCGCCGTCGCTCCGTTTGCTCAACGTTTATTCGTCGTAAAATAAATGCGAAAGGTGCGAAAGGCTTATCAATTTTCGTGATTGTTTTCTTAGAAACGTTTTCTTAGAAAACGATCGAGTGTACATCCTCGAATATTGTCAGGATAACGGTACAGTTGAAGTGATCGTAACAATCGTCAAGACCTCAACGTTTAATATCTCGGTGTATCTCAATAGCTGTAATAGCCGCCGGGTTTGCTCACATGGTCCATGTTTTGTTTCTGTGATTACCTCGCCGTGGCTCCCTCTCGACCGTTTCCGCTCACGGCAATGAGCCATCGTGTCTAAAGCGCGCGCTTTAGCGACCTCGTGTGTGAGGCCAGCGTGTACGACGCGACACGGATAGATCCTGCTGACACGGGATGCTTGGACAACGACGGTGCTTCCAGTGAGATGCTTGCCGATAAACGTGGCCGCAGTAGCTGTAGGATCATTGACACGATCCCTGAACCCCTGATCAACAACCTGGCTGTCAATTACAGCGGGACCGCGTTAACGTCCAGCGTCTCGAACGACTTTCATTCAGATGAAATCGTGTGATTGACATTATCCTGAACGGTCGTTGCAGTAGTATCGAGGACTAGTGCTTCGTATTGCGTTCTCCATCATTTCCTCTGTCTCTGCTTTTAGCCACGAAGCAGAATATCCGCGAGCAGAAATGCAACGTCACTGACGTTAAAATCGACGCAGCCGACATTCAGACCATTATCTTCAGACGTGTAAAGTCCATTTAACGGCCTCCATGATCGTTTACGACGTGAAGCTTTTTGTGTGAAGGAAGTAGTAGAATAGAAACTGAGAGATTCAGAGAAAAAAGACTTTACTGTTTTAAACAAGAGATCCTTTACTCCTCGGAAGATCGGTGTTACGTTTTTTACAAGACTGCTCTCGAGACGCTTCAAAACTTACGGAAATTGAGCGGAGAAATGGATACGTTCTTGATTATCGGCATCTGCTTTTTCTGCTATGAGATGTGCGATTTAATCAGACGGTATACCGCCCCGCAAGCGATAGAAACGCATTGCCCGGCGGAAACGACCACCAAGAAGACGCTACCTCCGCAGAAGATATATTCGATTTCTCGCAAGATTCAGGGAGGACCCCGCGCCTGTTGCCCGCAATAGATCATCGCGCGTTTGATTCCGGTGCGGATATATAATTCCATCTAAAGTCGTCTAACATCTGTAGTGTGGGAAAGCGAGCCGCTTTGTGTGGGCTACGGCGAAGGATCTTCGCTGAACCTCAAGCGGATATAGAACTGCGCTGGACCAAGTTGGAGCAAATGGATGGCCATGCGAGATGGATTTACAGTTCCGCGCAGTGATAACAGACGCCCGTCTCGGAGATTCATGATGTTTACGGAGGTTCGAGGTAGCGACGCGATCGATAATGATTTGTCAGCTGTTACGCCACCTGGAACGCAGACCAACGGATCGATCAGTTCTTAGATGACGGGTTCGTAGACGTGGTATGACCAAGAACGGCAATTCGCGATTAGTATCGGTGAACGTGTCGCTTCATTCATAAATGTTTTGAACAAGATTGTGCGCAAGATTGTGAAAGAATCGATAGACACGATGGATAGGATCCGTCGGATGGTTTCGCCTATAGAAAACAAAACGATTTGTTGACGAGACTTGTTAGAGTTATTACCAATATTTTTTTATTCAATACTCGCGTATTTATGCGATTCGAGCGACAATGCGCGTTCACTCGATTTGTCCGCGGATGTATAAAACCGATGATGGCAAATTTCACTCGAGCGGTACTAGTCGCTGCAGTTGTATACGGTGCTGTTGACGCAAAACATGAAAAGCAAGAGATAGATTGTCGTTAGGCGCGTTTGAGAGACCCGGTAAGTGATATCGATTGAGACGTCACGGTGGATAGCTCGCTACGAAAGTGAGGGAAAAGCAAACTCGCTTGACGAACTCTTCAGTACGTGCCTGTGAATGCAAACTTTAGTGTTGGACGCCGAACGTCGTCGATGCACCAAACTGCGTCATATAAACAAGAAGTGAAGTTTCTTTTGTGTACATCAGTGTTAAACGTGGTCGTGAATAGTGATGCATTATTCCTTCGAATATAGTACGCATCGTGTTGGTACGTTCAAAGGGAGACGAAGAGGAGTAGTAACATCGTTTATACGTCGTGATTGTATATGTTCACTGCCCGTAACTCAAACTTAACGCCTGCGGTTGTATCGAAAAGTTTCTGTAGGAAGTAACTTCATGGTTGGTGCAACGTCAAAATGTTTTGACGCAAAAATCCTTTGTTGAGATCAGAAGAGAAGAGGGAAGGATTGATATAACTCAAAGTGTGTTAACAAGGAAAATTAGACTGCGCTATATTTTGCAGTTACCTGCAAAGGTCCAATTTACCTTTAACAAAAGCGCGTTAGATAAATCAAATAAATAAAATATGCTCACAGTTGCGTTACCAGTGAAATTTCTTTCCGGAACAGAAGTGGTACTCGTACTGTTTTTTTAGTTATACATTTAATAAAAAAGATTTAACAACATCAAGTAAAAGCATCGTAAATTAAATTGCTGCGATGTGTTTTCTAATGCCATATAATGTGATTCACGATGCATGCATCAAAACACTTTTCAACCGATTGTGAGTGTATTTCTGATCAACCAAAGTGGGATTTCTCGTGCCTGAAGATTTAGCACGAGGACGCGAGGCAAGATTCGTTCATCAACGACGAAGAAGGGGAGGGCCATGACAACCTAACGGCCACGACGCTTTTAGGCCCCCTTTTTGGCCGATAGCCCGAGAGAGATCGAAACGAGAATTTATCGAAAATTAGAAGAGATGGACTCGCTGGAGCGTCTAATGAGTTCCCGTTCTCACCATCCGGCTCTCACGGCAGCCACGCGATCGCAGAATGCCTTTGTACAGGCTAATCTCTGTTCCGTGATAGGCCGCAAAGGGCGACACCTCAACGGAACTTTCTGTTTAACTGGGGATACGATGGAAGGCATCATACAGTGTCTGGTCTTCCTCAAAGCTTTTTCGGTAAGAAATTCGTATCCGTGTTTCTATGCTCATGTGTTCGCTCGCACTGCTCGTATTTATTGAATTATTGATTTAACCTTCTAATAAGATATATATATATATATATATATATATATAGAGAGAGAGAGAGAGAGAGAGAGAAAGACAAGAAATCTTCCTTCTCCAGATACTTTACTATTTTTGTGATTTGTATATCAAAATCTTAGACCTTAGAAGAGAATAACACATTATATGATATGTCTATAAAACATATTTATGTTTTATATACATGTATATAAAATATTTATGTATATATACATGTGTGTGTGTATGTATGTGTGTGTGTGCGCGCGCGCGCGCGCGCGCGCGTGCGTGTGTGTGTGTAGGAAAAATATGTGTTACAATATGTTCATGAAATTTAGGATAATGTTAATAAAATTATATACGCGATATACTGATTATCTTTTAACTACCACGAGGTAATAAGAATGAATGACTATCCGCTTAAAATGGTTAACGTAAAAACGACGTTTCTTACGCTGACACCAACGACAATGAGTTATTTCAGCAGTTAATTCCCGTATGTTATCTCGTTAGACACGTTTAAAGAACACCATGATTCATTTGTCGCGCACCGAGAGAGATTTAGATATCTTTATCAGATGTCAGCAGTGTTAACTAGCAATTAAGACTTTTTTTTTGCTTTTACTAATCTTCTTTTTTGCTTTAAGGATGCCTTTGTTTCGCGTTCGCGCTGCACTTAGAAGATTGCTTTCTTTTTGGTACAGTAAATTAAGGTGCACTTTGTAGTCCATTTCATTTTCCATATGCAACTGCAGCAGTGTGATACGCATATGCATTGCGTTTGTACAAGTATGTACGAATATACCACGAGGTATGTAAAAGCGGAAGAGTATTTTGAAAGTTCTTACGATGTGATTTGCTCTTCATTACTGAAACGAGGAGACAATAAGTAGCTAATTACATTTATTAAAATATTATGGTAATTCACGTTATGAAGTACTAAAGTAATTCAATAGACCGTTTTCCATAATTCAAGCGTTCAGTGCATTACCCGCGATTCATTATTATATCGACCAAGCTGTTACCATATTTTATCCGCGAGACATACCTACAATTCCAGATCAATTTAATTATATTCCGAAAATTTCCATACTCAATGTCATAAATACACATATCTCGAGTTTCAAAGCAGTGAGTAAAGTATTATATAGAGAACTATTTTAAGTTAAATTATAAATTGTGTAATGTACTGTTATGTAATGTATATATTATGTAGCAACGCACTACACATTTATACACATAATATTCATTATACGAGAGAAAAACATGCCTCCGAAATAAACTTTTAATATAAAAATTAATATATTATTAATATATTACATATCTGTATTTCTTCTTGTACAAGAAAAAAAACAGATAAAGAAATATATACATATATATATATGAAGCTAAATTATCAATAATAAAAATTCGATACTGATCAATTATCGTTACTATTACGTAGTGAATTTTCTGAAACGTGGAAAAATATTAAAACATTTTAATTAACATTTTATTTTTTATAATTTAAGATGTAGAAGCCATGTATATTTTTTCTATTATGAAGTAAATGTTTAGTTGTGTAGTAAGTCGTCTATTCTTTTCAGTATCGACAAAACTTTCTTTTCTTTCACTTGTTTAAAAGAATACGCTGCCTTAATGAGAAGAAATGTAAGTAGGAATAATAAACAAACTATAATATTACGCAGGTATTAAAAATTCTTACAAAACTATAAACATATTTATTCTTTAATTAGAAGATAAATAGGATCGTGAGAAATTAATAAATAAGTCATAGCATTTGTTAAAATGTTTGAAATTAGCAGTTATTACGTAAAAATAAACTTTCTTTTTAAAAGATTAACATGCACTCTACGAACAGCGTAAAATAAACTTGTCCATTTTATGCTGCTCGTAGAATACATGTTACTTTTTTGTGTGTTTGAATCGTTGATAGATGCTTCATAAAAAGTTTCGATCAGGTTGTCTATGTTACGCTCTACGTTGCTGATCGTTAATCGACGTTATGAATTTTTCAACGGATGTTATAAGTCAACGTTAGGATGAAGCAGTTTCCATCAAATCGATCTCGATATCGCCTTTCTGCTACGTAAGATTTTTACCTCAAAAGCAAGCCTCGGCAGCATTGAAAGACGAGCATGCACTTTCTTGAAGCAATAAAGCCTCGATGTTGTTTTCAAGTTGCGCATCGATACCTAAGGCAAAAAGCTTCAGAGTAGCGTCTCAAGAGAAATTTAAACTCGGAATTGCGAAAGGAATTGAGCTTTCCTTTGACCAAACTCTCCGATGAATTGACGCACGGCCGAGTATACAGAACATTCTGCTTAGTATCGTCTCATCAATCTCAGCGTAATTTAATTTGTGAGTGTGTTCGTCCTCGTTAAAGCATTTGATCTGTTACAGAAATTAAATAATGAAAATAAATGTCAATAACAAAATAAATGTCAAACAAATCATGAACTCAATAATGATTGGAATATATCGAATTATTCACATACACATCCAAATTGTGTGTGTGTGTGTGTGTGTGTGTGTGTGTATAAAGTATCGCGAATTTAGATAGTCAAACTTCGGAAGCGTATAGGGAATTGATAAACTAAGAGAAAAAGTCCTTTAGAGATATACTCATTTTTTATTTGTTTTGGAAAAAATCGCAAGAGGAAACAGAAGTACATGGAGAGAATTTTTCCTTAAAGTTTATCCTGAAAATGTGATAGTCGTGGAACAACATTGTATAATATTTCAAAGAATTTTAATGTAAATCTCTCTTATTCATTAATAAAACTACGAATGAAATATAAAATAAGTTTCATTAATTTTACTGAAGTACATGGTAAAAATCTTCAAAATATTGTATTGTGCCACAACTACCATATTTACGGGATAAATTTTTAAATAAAATTCTCTCCGTGTAGTTTTCATTTTTGTACTTATTTACAAAATTATTACTTATTTACTCATACTTATTCATTCACGTCGTCACTTGCTTAATGCAATTGTTCAAAATGTTGGCCTCTTGCAGCAACGTATTGTATCTTATATGGACAGCTCGTGTTACAGTCAAACATTAATCTGGTTAATATAATGACTCGCCGATTCAGCACATACTCTTCTGTCTGGAAAGCGCACAATCCTCTCGCATTGCCTCTATAAACGACGCATTATCGTCGTTAAAAATAATAATATTTTTAGTGAAAATGTTTCTGTTTATTTACATTTCTACCTTTCTCTTATAAATTCGTCGGTAATACTCATCAGAAACCATCGAGTGAATTACACTTGCTACAATATGCCGCGTACACATTCTAACGTTGAATATGCTAATATGATTTTCGTATATGCTTTCTGTGACGGTAACACAGGAGGCTGTGCGAGAATATGCGCGCCGATTTCCAAACAAGAAAATGCTGAATCGACAAGTCATTACATTGAATTTTAATAAGCTACGACAGATCGGTTCATTTTTAATTCATCAAGATCCGTTAAGAGCAAATTTGCAAGTAGAAAATAAGTATAAAATTACGTTTTATCTGTTTTTTACAATTTTCTCCAAAACGAAGCAGAAACGAGTATACCTCTAAAGAATTTTTTTCCTTAATTTATCAATTCCCTACTCCCGAAGTTTGATAATTTAAATTGGGGACACCTCGCATATATATTTATAATATACATATACAGGTACATATATATGTACAATATATATAAATTACATCGATTTTGCACATATATATTCGAAATCCATGTAATTTTTTATTTCGTAATTTGCGATCAGCAATGTAGAAAGTCGTTTGTTCCGCGCACCGAAACGAACAGATAATTTTGTAGCGCAGTTGCGGCAGATTAAGCCTGAATACCTTCTACGCCGTACGGATCATTAATCAAACGCTTTTTGCGAGTCCATTCGACTGTTATACGCGGCTGCTGGTAGATGCGCGCGGATGCAGGCGTAAAAATTACAACGCGTCGAAGATAGGCACCCTTTTCTCGCCCATTCACTACAGCGTTGCTTACGGCAATAACGTGGTGATAATTCATTTTTTTGCATGGGACTTGTTGCCCGTCAGGGAAATCTTTAGTATGCATTTTATACATATAATCCCCGTCATCGTTATTGTTGTTGTTATCGACATCGTCGATGCAAAGGCCAAGTGGATGACATTCTTCGTTTCCGTCGCACTTCCAAGATGAAGGGTGCGACGAGAGTGAAACATCTCTATGAGGGTGCCTATGAATTTTTATTCGACTCGCCCGCGGCTAAGGGCTCACGAGAGAACGGAGAATGCTGTGAACCCTTAAAAACAAGAACTTACCCGGCCGTGAAGATAAAAGTTATCGGAGGCATTGCACCGTAACGAGGAAGTCTTCATTCAAAAGGGCTCGATCAAAGAGATGTTATCGAAAAGAAAGGACCTTTTTTTATTTATAATCGCACAAGGAATCTTCTTGGTGATGCGAGGATCTTTGTTATAAGATTGTCTTCGGATATAATTTAAAATGACATAATTTTTGAGCACAATATATATATATATATATATATATATATACATTAATTATATAATTAAGATTAAAACATGGAAATATATATGATTATCATTATTAATTTTATTTCATTCCTTTTGGAAATTTTATATTTGATTATAACTAAATCTGTAGTAATTTTATTGAAGGTCAATAATGCAAAATGAATTTAATTACCTATATTTTATTTTATTCGTTGTAAATATATTATAATAAATATTTTACTGTAAATATTAACATTAGTTTACATTTAGTTTATGTTTAAATTTAATTTACATTTAATTTTATATTATATCGATATTAGTATTATAGAATCATACATTTGTCTAAATTATTATTTATAATGAACACAGTAATTATTATTTTATTTAGAGATACGATTTGGATACAAGTATAATATATGCTTTATTCCTTTTATA